TCATCAAGCTTAGGGGTTTAAAGATATCTTGTCCCACCAACGGGGCGAGGGGGTTACATTCCTTTGCTTATTATCATGGAGAGGCCTGCTCATTTTCATACCTTCAGACATTTGTCCTGCTACAAAGGGCAGACCTTGTTGTTGTAGCTCGCCCTTCGCTCATCCTTCATTCTGATTGTCACCTGAGTCGCAAGTGAAGTTGACCCCTAACATTTTTCTTGTTGTGTTTTGGTTGCAGAAGATTGCCAAGCGCGTCATCTCCGCATTTCTGCGTGGCGACCAGTTCTACAGTGACCTGTATCCAACCATGGACAACGTATACAAGGTCTTCCTCGCCGAGCAGGACCTGGCCCACAGCAGTGACCGCAGGAGGTTCAAGGACTACTGGGACAGCAAGTACGGGCAAAAAGTGATGACTAAGCTTGGGGACCGGCGCTCCAAGTTGGGGGGCAGGTTTCGTAAGCTGCTTGGCGAGGAGGTCAAGTGCGTGCCCATGCCTCAGTTTCCAGACGACGAGGAGGAAGCAGCGGCGAGACAAGCCATTCGGGACAAGTTTGCTTCAGGTAACTTCCTCTCTTGAAGTCAAGGAAACAATCACCTGTCAAATATTAGGGTAATCTTCCATGCGAACGCGTTTGTCACCCTTGCTGAGTGAGAAAATGGATTGCACCGAAGTCATCTTTCCCAGGTCAGCTTGTCATCTGAAGAATGCTTTACTTCGTGCTGGCAATTGTGCTTTCGTCTGGGGCTGATCCTAAAATCTGTATATGGCAAACGTGTCCAGATCTCGCGATTGAGAAGAGACCGATTAACATTCAAGCGGCGCTTTGATAAGTCTTGACGACATCCAAATAATCGCACGTCAACTCTTGAGACGTCTGATGCGGGCTACAGTCTGCGTCTCTTGGGAAGTCTGTGAGTGAGTGGTCAATGCGATACATCTTGCTGTCCTTAATCCTTTACCAAGAAGTCTGGATTTGCGGTGAATTCTCGGAAATGAATCACTGGCAGGAGATAGAAGCACTCGTGGAAGGTTCATGAGACCTTGTGTTGAGGTGCTTCTTATCTGAAACAACCAATAATTGAATATTACACTATACTACAACAGCAAACTCATCAAAACCCTCGAGTTTTTCCTTATAATGCAGATAAGATTTGGATCGCGGGGCCCAATGCATTCCAGAATACGGAAAACGGGGAGATTGCGTACGAGGAGAGCGAGGGGGACGAGCCGGAACCTCTGAAAGGACGTGTTTTTCGGGTTGCATATGCCGGCACGATTGAAGCGGCGCT